ATCTCTGTTTCAGAAGCAGCTGGCCTTTACATATTGCATAAGTGAATAATAAGTTCTTTAGAACAACTAATACTAAGTATGTAAATTTAAAATGTTTAAAATGCATTTACAAGTGTTATAGTAACTGGTACTAACTACTCTGGTCATAATTATTTCTAATAACTGCATAAATCAAAATGAATTTTTACAGATTTTGTGTAAACCCTTATTTAGATATTTCCAGTGCTTTCTGCACCATACATTAATGCTCAAAAACCAGTATTTTAAGAAATTGTGAAGTGAATATATCAAGCAATAAATACACCTAACGTTCCTATAAAAGTTCATATGTGAATAAATACATTTTTTTCCCCCCCTCATCTGTGTTGTCTTATACACACATTAAAAATGGCCCTTTTTTGGTCTAACTCTTCTGTAGTATAATTCAGCAGTCCAAGGTTCAGCAATTATTGCACAAATTTTAGAAGCTGCTCTTCCTCCAACATTTTTACACAGAAGCAGCTCTACATTATTGAAATCACTAGAAATATCAGTACATGATAAATACAGATTTATATCAAAATTATTTAAGCTGAAAAGCTAGGAAACTTTCTAACATGAAAGGTTTCTGGAACATCAGGAAAACAATTCCCAGACATATCCAGCTTTTTATGTGCGCATCAATGAAATCTTCATATGACACACTGAAGCATTTTAATTTTTTTTTAAACCAGCTTTTCACATAGCTCTAATTTTCAAATATAACTATGACTTAAAGGTATAATGAGAGTTAGTTCCACATAAACACCATGAGCACACAATCTAGTGTGTAGTCTATTGTAATTAACACCAGTGATTCAATACCTACTGCTACTGGCCAGGTATCATAGCAACCTTGTGTCACTGAATACTGCTGGAAAACTGTTCAGCACCAGCAAGACCATGCTTCAGGAAAATCTACAATGGCACTACAGATTGTCAACATCTGTGGGGGTTGTTATAGGGAGAACAACAAAGAAGTCTGCTTTAAAAAACCCTATGCTTAGAAAATTGACAGGGATACTACAGCAGCAATACAAAAAGGAAAAAATACAGAGAGGAAGGAAAGACCATTTTTTGTCATTAGTTACATAACTTATGTACCCACATCCTAATATCCATCCATATAAGCTGAGAGTTGAAATAATGCTACATTACCACATTGTTTATGTATATCCACAAAGTACTGTCTTTTTCTTTTTTTTTTTTTTTACTAAACACAAGCATCATTCATCACCAACATTAATCTGAAAATAAAACAGACCCACTTTTAAAATAATATTTAAACTTCCACAAATGAACTCTAGATAGTCTTGTATAAATCCGCAAAAAAAGAAAAAAACAGGTTACTACGAACAAGAACCCAATATTGATTTTTCTGCGGTGCAGTAAAGCATCTCCATTCTATTTGGCTGCTGTCAAAGCCACTCTTTAACAGCTGGAGTCAAATTGCACTATTTACAGCAAGAGCCCTTGTCAAGTGGACCATAAGTATTCTAACAATACACTATTCAAATGGCACTTTGCCACACAAATTGCTGACTTGATGAATACCCTATGTCAATGACTAAGGCCAATATAAAAGTTTCATTTTTATGAGAGGTTTTACATTCACATATTAAGTAAAGCTTTCTTGAAGAACTATTAAGCTATATATTTTGGGTCTTTTGACATTGAAAATAATTAAAATCTGTTTAAATATATCAAGGGGATTTGACAACATTAATATGGATCTTGTGTTAACTGCATTTGTCACACTCATCTGTTATTGGTACTCCCACTGGCACGTGTAGCACAATAAAAGAATTAAAATGGTCAAAACACCATGAAATCAAAGTATTCTGCTTCTGTACCTATGATTTACATGATGACAAATGCTTTGAAAGAAAGCCTTTGAAGCTGGACTGCCACGTGAGGATATTTTTCTTCTTTCTTCTTAGGATGGAGTAAAGAGAGACCATTACTTTGCAAATGTCACCTTGTCTTAAATATAATGTTAATGATAAAACAATGTAATAAAAAATAGTAAGAAAAAATACTGAATCTTACTTGCAATCTTCATGTGGATCATCTCATTATACAAAATAAGGATCACTCACAAGTGTAATACTAACAGGACAGAATAGCTACCCCTCATTTTTTCTCATTTTTTTCTAATTTTTCATTCTTCTGAAATTCAATTCTTAAAGAGGCTAAAATTGACTGTGCTTTTTAAAAAAATAGAAGTGTTATTAATAATTTAGTGTGTTGTTAAATTTCCAATACACAATTTGCCAAAGCAACAAATTGATAAGGAAATACTCCTTTTATACATGCATATTAAACCTTTTGATAATCTCAAAGTTTCATAATAGTTTCATCTCTGTGGTCATTATACACTTATTAATATGGTATGAAATATTGAAAACTCTGATATCCACAGAACTCTCACTAATTTCATAGGATCTGGCTTTCAGGAGACAATTTCAAGATGCTAAAATACAATGACCCAAAAGACTCAATACAGCACTTTTTCAAAAACCTAAAAAACGTTTCCTGCGTAAGAACTAAGAAAAACAGCAGACTTCATAACAAGCCGTCATTTCAGCAATAGCAAAACAGTGTTTGAAAAAGCCAGAGCTCCACACTCCTTTGTGTAGCCTGCACTGGGTTCTGCAATAGTATTAAGGGGACCTCCATTGTTATATTCTTCCCATGTTCAGCTACACCCTATACATTTAGCCTTTAGCATCTCCCACACTAATCTACAGAACCTGGTCTAGTGGGGATGGAGGAAGAAGCACTAGATGTAATGGATGACAGACTTTTGATGAATGAAAAGTGGTTTCCCAAGTACAGAACTTCATTTGTTAGGAAATTAGACTAAAATAACATTACTATAATGACCAAAAGAAGGTGAAATTAAAAAAAAAAAAAAAGATATTTTGACAGTCATAGGGAAGTCTAAGAGACATCAATAATATTCTCTCAATAAAAAGTTTTCCTTGGGACAAGATAATTAATGAACAAAGTTTAAACAAGAAAATGGAATATTTTATTGAGAAATCAGAGCAACCAAGATATATGTCTGATTAAGAAAAGTGCTATAAATTATTACAACTCCACTGCCACCTATTGTGATATTACATCCAATCATGATAATCCCCAAAGCATGTTAAACTCCACACTTCAAAATTTACCAAAAACTATTTTCCCATATTCCATGAGCAGCACATTTTCTTTCCAGCCACTTTGTTAAATCCATGCAATTTTCAGTTTAATAGGTATGACCAAAACTACACTCCAAACACAACTACTATAACTTTTTGTGTTGTTCCTCTTTAAAAAGGCAAGAAAAACTATTCCTTTTAATAAACTGTGAGATCAGATTCTGTGTCAATGGCCAACTAGTGTACCATCTGCCCCACAACATGCTCAGCAGGATTATGCTCTAATACGACTTTTCAGAAAATGGGATCAAAAAGAACTTGAGAAATCAGACTAAGGTTAGTAAAAGGTCAAAGATAAATATTAAGAGTTAAACAGGCATTATAAACTCAAAGTTCTATGTACATTTTTAGGTACAATAAAGAAAGAGACCAGAAAAGAAAATTCAACAATAAGGACTTGGATTAAGCTGTATTATCAGATAGAATTTTTAATATCTGGTGTTTCATTTAGCATAATTAATAAAGCCAGAAAAAGGCCAGAGACCATTCTGAAGGCTATTTCCACATGTGAGTTGAGGGAAAGCATTTTTCATCTTCCCACACTTGTGGGAAGATATTTTTTATCTACATTCAGGGTTGAGAAATAGCAGACATGACTTCCTCTGTTTATTGCAGAAAATGGAATTCCCAAACCCCGTTAATTAAAAAGTGGTAAACATGAACAAAAAACATTGAGGCCTTATTCTTAAGATACATCTGTATCAAGAGGTCATTGAATATACTTACTCCTGACGTGCAAACAGGGTTTTCAGAAAAATGAACGTACCATTGTCTTTCAACCTGAATAAGGTAATAGCTACCTCATTGAATTTGAGATTGTATTAAATTTGAGATAATTTTAATAATTGGTTTTACATTTATCAAATACAGGCTTTTTAAATATCTACAAATAACTAATAAGTATACAGGTATACCTAGGCCATAAGCAAATAGAATGACTATTGCCTTTTCAACCTTACTTTGCATTATATGGTGTCTCTGTACTCATTTTCTCAGCTTTAACAGCACATTAACACTAGTTTCAGTATGGTATTTCCATCTTTTTTTTTTTTGAAAATGAAAAGAAAGAGCACATATTTTCCATCAGTCACCATTATTTGGTTTAACAACTTCTGTAAAAAAATTGTTAGATAAAGCTAAGTACAGTGCCTGGCCAAATCTCTCCTGAAGACTGTCATACCTATTTGTAGCCCAGTATTTCACAAGAAACATCACCATCCTCTTTTTAACCAATAAGGTGCCAAATTTAATCACACTAATATAAATGTAAGGCACTTGCACTCTGTTCTGTGATGATGTTAACAGAAAACAAATACCCAATAAAAACTAGCATTGAACGACAACAGGAATCTGCGGTTTCATAGAAAAGCAATAATGTAAAGGCCAGTAGCATTATGCCATGATGTGCTTCTTCTCAAGACATATACATCTGAACTTGTGGGTTCAATTGTTCTGAGGGTACTGCTAATAGATGCAGTCATAAGCCAGAGGCATGAGGAAATAGGGTCTAACTATGGGTGCTAAGTCCCTAAGAAAATCCTTCTGAGATGATCTACTAGTGACTTTGCATAAGGCACTTCCCCATCTTCCCCATTTGTTCTATGAAATGGGGTTGAAGGCATAAAAACTGAGCGAGTCAGAACAAGGCTCTATGAACTTAAAACCAAGCCTCCATGCCACTTACACAGGGCTACACACCAGTGAAGGTGAAAGGGTAAAGAATTCAGATCGCAACTCAGTGCTCTTGAGAAATGCTCTGCTCTTTGTTCTTACCTTATCTGAAGATTTTTCTGTATGAGTAAGATTGTAAGACAACATGCCATGCTTGTAAGAGCTAGAGTGTTTGTATCCAGCATTTTTATTTCTTTTTGACTCTTGAGATACAGGAAGTAGAGCACCTGCCACTAAGTATTCTGAATCTTCAATGGAAGTAAGAATTGCTTTTGCTGTTTCACCTGTTTCATGTCGTTCCAGCGTGCCTAGAGAAACACAACAGAAGCTGTAATTTTTTCAAGAAACTATACTATCTCATATTTCAGCATAAGTGTCATAGTATTAACATAGTACATTTCACATGAGCAGATAAGTCATGAAACATTTACAGATAAGCCAACTAATTCCTCATTTCTGGAACTTAAAAATGTAATTTTACACAAGAGTCTATTCTACAGCATTGCTATGTTAAAAACCCAAAGCTTAATTTCTAAAGAAATCACTGCAGCAAATACCTTACATTCAGACTGCAGGAAACTTAAGACATTTTGTATAATGTGTGAAGTCAGATGCAGTTTCAAAAGGAGCAAAGGAAATTCAGAAGAGTACCACTTGCCCTAACTATTCAAAACAGTGTCATTTGTTTTCTTCTCACAAAGCCCTCACAGAGCACCTATATCATTAACAGTGTAAACAATAACACATTTATGTAATATTTTAGTGCTGTCCTCTAGTGTTCTAGATTACAAATAGCAAGGGAAAGCTCAAATTTTTCCTTCCATTCCTAAAACCCACTTTTACCTCTGACACCGTTTAAACACCTGAACATACTACATGTAGCTTAGGAGTCAGGAATACGAATACAGTGTTTCGGAGACAATTTCATCACTTGTGTGGCTCTAGGCAATCCGATTCCTTTAACTGTTATACCCAGCTATATTATTTTAGTAATTTTATTTAGTAATAATTTTAGTAATAGTACTTAATGTATAACTAACATTAACAAAATCTAAACTGAGCTTAAATGTGTTTGAAATGAACGCCTATTATATACTACGCATTTCCTATAGCGATTAAACTCATAAGAAACTGCTGAAATGGCATGTTTCCTATAAATATCAGAGATAAGGCATGTGAAGGATTTTAAAAGTATTAAACATCTGCGATAACCTGAAGTGGTTTTCCCTTAAGTTTGAATTCTTTGTGGCCTCAAGTAATACAACATGAATTTTCCCTTTCACTGCTACCAGAAAAAAATGTATAACATTCAAGTTCTATCGGTAACACCTGCTAAGAATATTGGACTGGGATTGAGGGATCTCATATAAGTGTTTGTATGTGTATAAAATCTCTTTATCTGAAATTATTTCTCTAAAACTTATCCATTTCTGTTCACTGTAGTATCACCTCTGTTCCTTATATGGCCAAGAGTTCTTTGAATTCAGAAGAGAAGAAAGTAACACAACTGACTTTGTCCCCTACAAAATCATTTGAATACCATAGATTATTATAATATTGCATTGAAAAAATAAGGATCAGCCCCAGTTGTTTTTCATTTTATTCATCCCTCCCCAGGATTTGCAGCCAGTGTCACGGATCATTACAGAACTGAATATTTACTGGAAGGAAAGCAAGTTGCCCAAAGATCCTTACAGTTGCACTGTCTACAAATACTTCAAAACAATACTGGCTACAAAGCTCCCAGCATTGCAACATTTCAATATTTCAGAAACACAAAAACTATATTAATAGATGCCTACAAGGAAGGATTATACAAGTCATACTAGACATGCGAGTCAATACACATTCTTAAAAGTATTGTAGCGTTTGCAAAGTTAAGAAGTTTGGAAATAATACAGTCACTCAGCTAATATAATTTTGGCCTCTCTATATATGCAATGTAGTCTTCCAAGCTATAAGCATGTCCTATTTCCCCACAGAACTCCCTGCATTGTTCAGAGCAAAAGAGGAACAAAAGTCACCAAGAAAATAGTCGTTCTCTGTCATTGTTAAGCGTGAAGGACTAAGCTTTCTCTGCTACCTTCTGTGGCAAGTCCACTACGCAGGGAATATTTATATGTATACACACACATATATGTGTACATCCTTATTTTCTGTATCACTTTTGTCTGTGTAATTCACTACTAGAGTACTCAAGTGCTTCAGAAAGCCTGTTATTGTAACATCCCTGGGAAATTACACAGTTATGTTATTTTTATGGGCAAGGAACTATAGCAGAGATTACAATAAATTTTTAATAAATCCAAGAGTTTTGGGGCATGGTATTAAATTTCAAAGACCTGATTATACATACTCTTTAGTATTAGACAGAACTTCAAATATTCAAAACAGGTTTTGTTAGCTTCAGATGCATCTATGAGTGCCTCATGACCAGTCATCCCTCAGAGCCAGACTATGTGGAATAATCTTGTGGATATATAATAGAATACAAGCATTTAATTAAGACTATCATACTACAGTGGCAAAAGAGGATAACACCATGTTTCAAAAAAAAAAAAAAATCAATTTTCAAATTTCAATTTACAAATTATTTTCAACTGCTGGCAGATGTGCTTCTACTTATTATAGACCTATGGATGCAAACTGAGAAACAACTGAGCAGGTTGTTCGGTCAACTGAACACTTCTGGTACCTACCAAACTATTTTCTAAGTGTCAGGATCATGCCACACCAAGTATACCAATTTTGTATGGGTAGTTTGGAGAAGAGAAAATTAATTTCTTATCAACCAAAAAAATCCTTTCTGGGCTCATACCAGGCAAGAAATATGACTCTGCCTCTCACATAGAGGAGTTAAGGAGTTACAATTTTTTTTTTTTTTTTTTAAAGCATGTTTATAGACAGGAACATTGAATAGAAAACAATGTCCTGGACAACCAGCTTAGTTTCTTACTGACAGAAGGCTATTTTATCATAAATTCAATTTTAAAAACTTAGAGTTCCATCTTTAAATCATTTACATATCATTCATAACAGCTATCTCAAACCCCTTATAAGTAGCACCTTCTAGAGGATTTCTTTTAAAAACATGCTTGCTTGCATGTATTTCTTAATCATGGATCTCTGTATGTATGTATATATATATGTACAGATTTGTGTGTACATCTGGAGCTGCAATAAAAGGGCACAAAGTGCATAGGAAAATGAGAGTGATGGGAGTGGGTGATCATGAAATTATTACAGTGTTTATTTTATCCAGTGTACTTTACACTTCTGAAAAGCCCAAAATACTCATTTGCAGAGTAGGTGGCAGAGACAAAGGAAGAGCTCAGTATTCTGCAACTCCTGAATACATCTTTAAAAGAAATAGATGGGGTGGGGAGGATGGAGAAACCTGTGTATGTGACAAAGACATTCTGACCACTGCAAACAGGCAAAAGAATACTGAGGCCAGGTGGTTACTGTTCCAGAAACAGTTATTTGTTAGGAGTATGTTGTTGCTGATTTTAAAAGAAAATAAAAATAAAGAGTAAGAAAAGACACACCCTGTACATGGGACTACAAGAAAGAGGACAGAAATAAAGACAGCTCTAAAACCTTAAGTATTTTAAACACAAATGAGCCCAAAACCTTTTGATTTGGGAGCATAAAATAACAATGGATTAAAGGGAAAAGATAGGGTTTTCTATGTAGCAGCAACACCACTGCTATGACCCCCTACTACACATACAAAATACAGGAAAAGAAAGTCTTTATCTCTCTAAAGCTGTGACCATGGCAACCAAGTCTCAGGAACAGACAAGAGTAGAGTATTTCACTCTCCTGGGCAGCTTTGGACCACCAGATGTGACTGGCTAGAGACTGTTACAACATCTTATTCTTCTTCTGGACCAAGTACTACAAATTGCGTCTCTTGGTGTTAGCACTGTCCTCACAGTTCTCTGGGTTCTGCTCTTACTGAATGATGTATTTTTACTGGGGAGGTCACGCATATTATCCTGCCTCAAGATGAGGTATTCACTGACATCACATGACCTGTCATATCATCAGGCTCCAGTGCTTTCTGTTTGCTGTCACAGCTAAAGTATTGAAAATCCCCAATATTGCAGTGCTGCTGTGACCTAGTAACTCAGCTGAATCTTACAGCATAACAGTGATCTGTGAAAAGTGGTTTCAGAATTGATTTTATTTAAAAGAGCACGTGGTCAAGAACAAATCCTTTTCTTTACTAGTAGCCAAAACAAAAAATTCACCTTTCAGAACAAGTATCATCTGTAATACCAGCTGGTTTATTTTCTGTCAAGATCTTCCTTTCTGTAAATACCTATTTCATCTGAAAAGAAACTCCTATCCACTTTCTTCTATGCTGGTAGAGTCAGGCAAACAGAAATTTTATGTTCCTCACTAGAAGATGCTTGAATTTTACAACACTACCAAGCTGCTCCAAGACAGTGGTCAAACACTTCACTTGAAAAATTTGTCCTAACGGCTAGTGCTACCACTCTAATATCAAATGGCCCAAAACAGATGGAACAAACATTGCGTTAAGTAAGCATATGTATTTCCAACCAATATCAAGACAAAAGTAAATGCAGTCTAACAAATAGACATAGGATAGATCAAACAAAACCCAGCCTATTAAAATCTAATTTTAAATATAGGAATAGATTAACAATGGAGGTGCCCTGTGACTACAGCACTGTATACAGGAGCACATAAAGTGTCTTGGCAGACACTCCATAATGATTTTTGCATTTGGAAGATTTCTGACATGTAGTCCAACTGCTATACATTACTGACTTCAGAACATACATTTTCAGAGTAGCATTATCAAACTTTTCTGAATATCCTTCAGCTAAAGAAAGCAATGAAGAACTATACAAAGAAAACTACTGGAATATCATATGTAATGCAGGTTTACATATGTAGGTGAAAAGAGCAGTTCTCCAATGCAGCCAGTTCTCATCTCAGGATTTCTGCTGCAGACAAAACACCCCAGAAGAACAGACATTAAAACTCCCCTGTTCTCTCCCTGACTCCATCTAAGCTATTCTAAACAGCAAAGGACAAAAATCCTGTAACATGAATGGTTGAGATACAGTAAATGTGCTAAATTGGGCTGAATGGAAGATGTGGCCAGCTCTGAACTTAGAGATGTGAGCAGTGTCTATTTCTTTATTACCATCTGAAACACGGAATGAGGATAAGAATCCATCCCTTAATGTCTGGAATGAAAACCCTCCCTCATATGAACTCTTCTGTCTGACTGCAGTGACCACACCAATCAGTTCTCATTTCCACTTTT